TTATTCAAGATATTAAAACCACAATCCCGGGCGCACAAAATAGTCCCGTGGTCGTATTTGGTGGCAGTTATGGCGGTATGCTGTCCGCGGCGTTTAGACTCAAGTACCCGGGGCTCAGTGTGGGTGCGATAGCGGCGAGTGCGCCAGTATTAGGGGTGGAGGGTCTGGCCAAAAGTTGCGACGCCTACTCAAAGCTGGAGACCAAAGATTTCACAGAATATTCTCCAAACTGTTCGCAAACTGTTAGAAATTCATGGGAAGCCCTCTTCCGTATAGCCGGCACAGCCGACGGACGAAAGTGGTTGACCAACGAATTTAAACTATGCAAAGAGTTGGCCGCCGGCGAGGAGATCCGGATATTTCAGTGGCTGATGGTGGCCTGGTCTCACGTGGCCATGGTTGATTACTCAAACGAGGCCAATTTATTCTCCGAATTACCCGCGTATCCATTGCGCGAAATGTGCAAACATATGACAAATCCGGGCGCCGATGACCGGGGGCTGCTTAGCCAGGTGTATGAGGCGGCCAACGTGTTTTATAACTATAAGGGTCTATCAAAATGCAACGATTTAAACCCAAATGGACCCGTCGACCCCACTGCCTGGGGCTTTCAGGTAAGCATTTTAATGCATTTTATTACAACAAAATGATATTATTAATTACTTACATTAATGAGTTTATATTATTTTGCGACAAAAGTCTTGCACCGATATAGTGATGCCTTTCTGCACCAATGGCAAGACTGATATGATTGAACCGTTCGGCTATGACTTTAAGGCATACTCCGACCAATGCTTTAGTCAGTATGGCGTCCGTCCGGACCCGAGAAAAGCTATGATGTTATGGGAAAAGCAGTCCCTCCGGAGGGCAACAAATTTGATATTTAGTAACGGTTTGCGAGACCCTCACAGTAGTAACGGAGTATTGGACTCATTGTCCGATTCGGTGATAGCGTTGAAGATCAGTCACGGCTGTCATCACGAAGACCTCCGGCCCGCAGGCGTTAACGACACACAAGAGCTCATTAATGTCCGCAATCAAGAGAAACAATATATGAAACAATGGATTGAAGAGCACTACACAACATTGAATTACTTTCCTAATGAATGGCTTAACTAATTTAATATAAAAATTAAACAAGATGCAAATGCTTCTTTTATTTAAAAGTAACTTAATTATTTATTTTTATAAACATGTATTTAATGTTTGTTTAAACGGAATATTTTAAAATATAATTTTTAATAAATTTGTTATTTGAAATAGTCTATGAATCTTGATTTTTAAAAAATTAACAAAAACTTTCTTATAAAGATTATAATATAACCTATCCCTTTCTCATATAAATAACTTAGCAATTAAGAAAATTTTATTTTGTCTTAATTTTCTTTTTATTATGGTGAGTCGTCGGGTTAATTGTTATTAAATAATTAAACATTACAATACACGAAACGATTTTTTAATTAATACAGAACATTAAATATTATAATTCTATTAAATTTTACATTGTTAATTTTGAACACATTTTTATAAGAGAGATGGCTATTGTATCGCAAATGATTGATTAAGGTTCTGTACAGTTTGACATTTAGAGCTGCAATTTCAAACTTTATAATGCACTAGTTATCAATTTTATCAGCATTTTATTTTCTTATATAAACAATACAAATATTGATATATTTGAATTAGTTATCAATAGAATTTTTGTTATTACAAGAAATTAATTAACTAATAAATAATGCTAGATTTAAAAACTAGTTTTATTGTAATAGTTGTGCAAATCTTATGCTTTGAATATTGTTTGTCGCGATTTATAGTCAGACCGCCTATAAGTCCCTTAGCATCAAATGGGACACCAATTCCGGCCAACTTTTCTGTTAAATATTATACACAACTAATCGATCACTTTAATTATATTAATACCAATCAATTCAAACAACGGTATATTATATCGACCGACCACTGGTGCGATGGGTGTCCCATATTTTACTACACCGGCAATGAGGGCGATATATTCATGTTTGCCAACAACACAGGATTTATGTGGGAAAATGCCAAACAATTTCGGGCAATGAATTTGTTTCTGGAGCACAGGTATTACGGAGAGTCTGTGCCCTTTGGCAAAGTTGATAAAAATTTAACCAAAATAGGTTATTTATCAATGGATCAGGTATGTTTCATTTCGCAGATACACAGTGTACCATAAATACCACACTATTTTTGTAAATAGCAATGAAGAGCAGTGTTATATAAAAAAATCATTATCTAGGCTTTGGCCGATTTCGCAGACTTTATACAGTATATAAAGGCTACAATTCCGGGTGCCGTGAATAGTCCGGTTGTGGTTTTTGGTGGCAGTTATGGCGGCATGCTGGCCTCGGCCTTTAGACTCAAGTATCCGGGGCTCAGTGTGGGTGCCATAGCCGCCAGTGCACCCATACTAGCGGTGCAGGGTCTAACTAAGAGCTGTTCCGGTTTCCCATTGGTTGAAACCAAAGACTATACAGAATATTCTGCAAACTGTTCGCAAACAATCAAGAATTCATGGACAGCCATCGAGCGCATTACCGGCACAGCTGACGGACGCAAGTGGTTGACCAACGAGTTTAAGTTATGCAAAGAGTTGGCCGCCGGTGAGGGGTATCGGGTGTCCCAATGGCTAGACACCGCGTGGGCTAATACAGCGATGGTTGACTATTCAAACGCCGCCACCTTTTTGTCCGATTTACCCGCGTATCCAATGCGCGAAATGTGCAAACAAATGACAAATCCGGGCGCCGACGACCGGGGGCTACTCAGCCAGGTGCATAAGGCGGCCAACATTTACTATAACTATACCGGGCATTCAAAATGCTGCGATTTAGTGGCTTCCACCGGACTCGTCGACATGACTGTCTGGGGCTTTCAGGTAAGCGTTATAACTTAATGCATTTTATGAATGATATTTGTAATTACTTATGCTATAAAATTTATACTGTTTTGTGGTTACAGTCGTGCACTGATATAGTGCTGCCCTTCTGTGCCAACGGGAAGACTATGTTTGAACCGTTTGACTTTGACTTTAAGGCATTTTCTGACCAATGCTTCGGCGAGTATGGCGTCCGTCCGGACCCGCGGAAAGCTGTGATGCTTTGGGAGAACCGATCCCTTCGGAGCGCAACAAACTTGATATTCAGCAACGGTTTGCGCGACCCGTGGAGTAGTGGCGGAGTATTGAACTCATTGTCCGATTCGGTGATAGCGTTGACTATCAGTCACGGCTGTCATCACGAAGATCTCCGGCCTGCAGGCGTTAACGACACTCAAGAGCTCATTAATGTCCGCAATCAAGAGAAACAGTATATGAAACAATGGATTGAAGAGCATTACATCAAATTGAATTACTTTCCTAATGAATGGCTTAATTAATTAGTCTTAATTATAATTATAAATAAACTGTTGTGCAAATATACGTTTTTATTTAAACAATTTATTTAACAGTAGCTTTACGTCAATTGTTTTTATACACATGTATTGAATGTTACTTTAAATAATGTTATTTTCAATGAAATATTTAAAAAATTAATTAATCTCTCTCTCTCTCTCTCTCTCTCT